AGAACCTATTATCGATCCTCTCGGAAACGAATTACTGCTTCCGGTGTGTTCGATCAGCGGCTGATACGAGGACCAATGATTATCGGTCCAGAAAAAAACAACGAACGAGGTGGAAAATTGGTGGCTGGCTTTGATTTTTATTCGACGGGTAGTTGAGATAGTCAATGGAGTCGATGACCCGATATTAATACGAAATGTTTCACACAATATTTCACCGGTTAGCCAGGAGATTAAAATCTGTTAACTAAAATCACATAAAATCATCGGTCACGCAAAAAGTAATCCAAAATGAGAGGATTTTTCGCGGGTTTTTGGTCCCACGATTTGGAACTGAACTTTTTACCAGGTGATACTTTACGATGAGATATCAGTCACAACAAATTCTCAAGTTGAATCAACAATTAGTTTCTGGGATATGACAGGTTAAAGAATTCAAAGTTCATTAACGCGTCAGCTTATACAATGTACGAAATTTTCTGTCAGTACGATAATTTAAACAATTTTTCCCAGAGGTGTGCTGACTGTTGACAACGAATTTGAAATTAGATTTTCAAATTCCACAATGGCCGATTCAACATGGTGGAAAATATATTTAAAAAACACTGTCTACACCGATATTTATTTTTCTTGATTTTAATTCCTTTATATGGTAATTACGTTTCCCGAGCAGGCTCGGTTGCCCATCGCTGCTGTAAAACATCGTTGAAATATTTTTAGTGGCTCACCGCCATCATTTCACGCCGGTTCGTATCCCGAAGGGGCGGCTAAACGGGGTTCCATCCCGGCGAGTTCAGAATAGAGGAGGCATTCACGAAAACAGTCTCGTATCCCCGGTCATTCGAACAAAAAGAAAAAAGCGGAAACAGATTTTTTTTAGTACCCTCCGACCAGTGCTCACCCTCGAGGGACAAGATTGGCCAGGCGCGGACCTAGTATTCGAAACGCGTCGAAAAACGATTTATCCGACCTCGCACGATGGGCGGCTCGGCCCCCCATGCGCGAGACACCATCGCGAAACGCCGGTCCAAGAGTCTTATACCATAGTACACACGACCTCGGATCGTTTCTCGAACATCCATTACGCCTCCATATTCCAGGCGAAGTCCTTCTCGCGGTGCGGATCGTCGTTTTATTTCGTCGGAGTTCCACGCGGCGTTCCGTCGTAGCTGAGCCGTCTTCCCCTCAACCGCAGATGCCGACAATATTACTTTCTCTGATCCCTTTTATGGATATTGCCACGCCTCGTGTCCCATTATACACCAATATGCGCCTAGGAGCATTTATTCTACGTTCGTTAGCTCCGCCACTTCGACCACGATCGAGCAACGTTACAGAGTCACGGATCATTTCTGGACACGTTCCCTGGGAAATTCGACCGTCCACGAAGAATAGGAGTAGCAACGTCCTGCGATCAAAGGGCGTCGTGCAGAGTCGTGCGGGGATCGCCTGGTCTCCAGTTACTAACACGGTCGGGAAGATTTAATCCACTGGAAATTCTGTCTTCGTCTAGCGCGCCCTGGGACGTTGAAAAAGAAAAAAAAAAAAATTGTCGTAAAGTCGGAGCAGACACCACGGGGTCAGAGACTGAACGGGGAATAAAGTATCAAACGACGGTTCTTGGGCTCCGGTTCTTTACGACTTCGGTAGCGACGCTCGCGAAAAGGCGAGGACGGGTCTCGCGGAGCAGTAAAACGCTAATTGGCAATTTACGGAAGGGATTATCTAAACGTCCCATCGGCCCCGACGACGTTCGACTACCGTGTCATCGGTGACGAGACAGGAACACGGGAGGGGAACGAATAAAAGACGTCGGCTGTAATGGAGAATAGGTTTCAAGGTCCTGTTCGCCATTTTACGTACTTATGCACATACACTCCAACTCGTAGGTACTAGCACACTTATCGAATGTGCAGTAAATGTTACAAGGTATTGCTGCAAGTCTGAAGTAAATATTGTTCAGGGTATATCAATCATCGGATATCGAATCTCTGTAAATCTGTATAAAGCCCGAGGGGTTGCCACTGAAATCTCCTACGGATTTTTCTGATATACAGCTTTCTAGATGTACCAAAAATATTTAGAACAACACTGAGATCTTTATCGAACATTTTTATTAAATACTATTTTTTATTATAACTCGTTATATACGTAATTGTTAAGTATAATTCGTTTTCATATGTGACTTCATGCCAGAATCTGACAACTCGCCAAATTATAGAGCGATATTCGTTCGTTTTGTCTCTGATAAAGATTTATTTCTATATAAACGACTCTGCTTCGTTAACAAAGTGAAATAAATGCAACATCACAGAAATCTACATACGTTAACACTGAATGGGGTCTATTAAAGAATAAAAAATGACGGAAAAACTGTAGGAAACGTAATTTCAATAACAATTGGCGAATAGCCAGAAGCAGAGTGGCCGATATGTCCACAAGAAAAATTGTAGCAAAATATTCAAATGTGGGGGATCCAGGTTACCCCGTTCAAGGATTTAATGGTTAAAGCTTAACCCCTCAAACGGGTTAGTATAAGTATAAAGTCATCGCTTTTGGCAGTTCAACGTCCATACATACTTTCTTATTTTGGTAATATTCAGTTGTAATATATTAAATACATTAATATGTTAATAGTGAGATGTATTAAATCAAATCAATTGTTTCACTAGACAATTACCCGCTCGAGGGGTTAATGGACTATGTTTCTGCTACTCTGAAGTAATAAAAGTGGTGTAAAATATATACTTTTCACGGAAGATGACATTTTCTTTATACACACCAAGTGTTCACATACTTACGAGCGGTGGTGTACATCGACGCGCGACTTCAGCAAATAAACTCGCGAACGTAAATCGTATACCCGGTGTCTTGAATTTAGCACGTTTATGGAGATTTAGCAACGCGCACAGAATTCTTGTAGATAGTCTATATCCGTGGATCCAAAGCCGTTGAGACTCTCCGAAAACGAGTCCGGGATTTTTGTTTCTCGCGCTTCACAGCGATAGACACATAATAACGATCGTTGTACCCTTCCCCACTACCTTCCCCGATATTCCTTCTCCTCCGTCGTTTCGCATCGAAAGCCTTTTCCCGTGGCGCGGCTAATATGTCACCGAAGACGGGATACTGTACATAAAATACACGAACGCGTTTGGTTTACGAGCCGATCAGATGGCGGGCGTATTATTACGGACGACGACGGTTCCGGGATTCCTTCGTTCAGCGATAGACGATAAAGTTTCGTTCCACCAGGATGGTCTACAGGTTTCTTAATCCTTGGTAGAATATTTGTAGAGTCCCCCCACTTGGAAAACTTGTTCGTTCTCCCGGACGGCTCTGTTCTGGTGCTCGAAAATTCAGTCGTCTGCTTCTTCGGAAAGTTCGTTCCATCGTGTCCCCTAAAATTTTAATCTCTACTCGAGACAGGAAACACCGAGAACTTCCGTTGAAAATTCTTCAGCGAACAGAGAAAAGGCGACGAAACAAATCAGAGATCGAGGTCACGTTGCTTTCGAAGAAGACGCGAACTTCCGAAAGAGTCCATCTCACGAGGAGTGTATCAGGCGGGAACGAGTGTCGCACGGCGCCCTACACGACCGTCTTCTCTGTTCACGGTTCGTGAGCGTAACGCCTGCTTTTACGTTGATCACTATTCACAGTCAGGATCCGCATCACGTTGATTATTCGAGAACGTTCCCGTGACCGTGCCCTACACACACGGGCAGTCGACGATGCCCGGCGATAACGCCGGTGATATCTGCTCGCGGGTATCTTTGGACGTTTTATCGACGTCGTAATTCACCTCGAGACGTCCCGCGGATAATTCCGCGGGCCTGGCGAAGCCGATTTACGATCTTGGCTGTCGGCCACCGGTATCCCCGTGTTTCCTTTCCCACCCCGGATATTACTTTTCCACGGGATAATGGAATCAAATGATGACTCGCGAGAGGGATGCACGCGACTATCGAGCTTTCGAGCTTGATTCACGGATTCGCGAATAGGACGATGGGTCGTCGGAGATAATTGAAGAACGCGTGGGACGAGAGTGAGACCTTAGATTGAATGTACAGTAACAACCACTGAATGGCCAGACATAATGTTTACGAAGGGGATCGAAAGGTTCGTGGGATGTGTACACGTGTTATAGTACTGAATGAAGTTCTTTAGTGATCATTCGACTCGCTATCCATGATCTAGTTGTGTCCAGTGTTCCCTGCACTGACAATAGTAGTAGCGTCTTTGGTTCGTTAGGAATCAATGAAAAACTAGGACAAAAAAGATGAAATACAACATGACTTTTATCATTAACATGTTGATGCCCGTTGGCCTAGATCTGTGTCATAAGCAGGAACATAACACGGTCGTGACGGGGGAGAAATGAATGTTTCCTTTTTTATGTTTTTAGTATCAATATGTCATTATAAATATTCCAGAAGACATTTAATAATAGAAAGTGTTTTTTTTAAATGGGAACTATAGCTCCCATCAGGTTGTAGGATTTTTCAATTAGGTAAATCCTTAAAATATTGGAAACCGTGGATTACTAGTACCAAACTATTCCTTTAGGCTTTCACTTGTGGCTATACAAGACTTATGAGTTCCTTCCACAATGCCCCAAAGGTGTCCATTTGATTGAAAGGGGCAGGGCACTATAGTTCCCAAGGCGGCCACGAGATTCTCTCATGTTGGGAACTACAATTCCCATTCGTACCGAATGTGTTAAGGGAAACAGGCCAAAAATCGGACACCATCGTGTTCACACTGATCCTCTAAGAGATATTACATAGTAACACGTAAGATTATACAGTCTAGTAAACCATTGGAAATCAAACCTTCGTGATGAAGGTCTGTAGCACCGCGATACCCAAAAGACTGGAACAGGCAAGCAAGACAGCTCACAGAGAGGTCCATTATTAATCCTCCAGTTCGTTGGGCTCGCGGGCAAACGTGCAACAGCGGAACCGTGTGTAACGTGATTTCCTGTGGCTCTTTGTTCCCAGATTCCGAGCAGTCTCCGGCTGTGTACTTGAGGGACGACCCGCTGTTCGGCAGCCTGCAACTGCAACAGCACAGCGAGCTCCGTGCACCGACTGCGGAACGCGCGGCGTTCTATTTGGACGCGGCAGTCGCAGGCCGGCAACGGGAGGACGGGGACGCGCACATGCTCTACACCCTTCACGTTTATCAGTACAGCGTCGCTGGCAAGGGAGGAGGTGAGGGCCTCGTTCTTTTTTTTTTTTTTTGCGAACGACTTCTTCGTACTCTTCGCCCCGCTCGTAAAGTACATTTATCGTCGATGCTTTTACGCGGACGCCGCAGACCCTCGAAGCTCGCGGCTTCGTGTGGCTACCGATTCGCGGAATATTGGCGACGCTGAGTGGTCGCTATCTCTGACACCGGAGCTATCTTAAAACGACTGTTGTTTCTCCGAGGGGAATCGACGAAGTTGTTCCTTTAACGACTTTCTCACGGTTAACTGTGTTATCTGTAGTTCGATCGTAGAGCGTCGAGATCAGGATTGTTATTGAATAAATTTATTTTTGGAATGATCCTTTCTGGATCCCGTGGGTGGAATCAGGTTCTGTTATAGATAAAAGAGAGATCTGGGTTAGGTCCCTAAAAGAGGGATAATAAATGATATAATTCATTAATTTCACCCAGCAGTTATGTACATAGCACGTAAAGTACCTTTCATCTCGTATAATAATCATCTGGAATTCCATAAGCGTGATCTATTAAATTACGGCGAACCACCGAATACATTTCTCGATCATCTTCTTAATTCCCCAGTCGCCGGCGGCAGAAGCAGGCTCCACTTAATGGACCTCGGCAATTCGGATCGTGGCAAATCGTCGGGTGGGATCCCCTTATCCGGGCTAGGGAACATCCTGCTGGCGATCTTTAACGGGCAGAAGCATCTGCCGCATAAGGAGCACAAGCTAACCCAATTACTGAAGGAGTGTCTCGGCTCGTTGACGTGTCACGCCGCGATGATCGCCCACGTGTCCCCGAACGCCCAGCACTACACGGAGACGTTAACCACCGTGCAACTGGCCTCCCGGATCCATCGAATGAGGCGGAGGAAGATCAAGTTCGTTGGCGGTGGAACGCAGGGGACGGGAAGCGGTGGAAGTTCAGGGGAGGAAGCTGCTAGGCAGAACAGCGAGTGCGATCCAAGCTCCAGCGATCTGTCCGCGGACACCGTGATTTACGTTGGCCCTAGCACAGACGACGCGACCGATGGCGAGCATCCACCCGTCTACATACCCAGCCTGAACTCGGGCGACAACCGTTGCGCTATGGGCAAAGTGTTGCGTGGTTCCGCCGCGGAAAGACCGTCGAAGATCCCGGAGGAGCGTAGTCCGGCGCACAAAGCGACGAAAGTGGTGAAATCGTTAACGCAGACTGCCTCGAAGCAAACCTCGCCAGCGCACACCGCGACACCGAAAGCCAGCCCAGCCAGAAAGTGCAACGCCGCTAAAGTGTCCGCCTCCAAATTGAACGATTCACCCGGTAGCAAAATACCAGTAGCAGCTCCCAGTGGAGGATCAGACGAGCAATGGATAGACGGGCCGAGGATCTCGAAATCGAAGGTCGCGGAAGCCAGGCACATGCTGAAGGATTCTCATCACAAGAGAGAGACCTGGATAGATGGTCCCATGCAACTAACCGGCCCGCCCACCTTGCAGATGCATGCTCAGCAACATTCCTCCGGCTACGGTTTCATGGACAGCCACAAGAAGAGCATGATCAGGAAGTGGGTCGAGAATCAATCGTCTCAGATCCAGAGGAGCAAGCACACCACGGCGAGGATCGAATCCTCGAAGATGTCCGGCCAATCGTCGCAGTTCAAGGAGCTGACGACGTTCAAGACGTGCGGCGGCATGGACGACGACGACACTTCGTTGTCCACAGCGGAGAGCGACAGCTTGAAGGCGAACGAGATCGAGGATATCACCGAGAAATTGGGCGTCAAGCTGAACCTGTTGAACGTCAAGTCTAATACAGATTCTGGTTTGGATCTGACGGCCAGTCCGGTTATGGACGACAGTGTGGATAAAGGGAGGCTGGATCTGCAGGAGGACGAAGACGACGAAGAGGAGATCGTGGTCCCGCCACCGTTGCCTCTGATCGAACCCCTGAGCAATGGTGTCAGCCGGGAGGTCTCGATGGAGAGCTTGAATCTATCGCATAAAGACATCGTGTTGCCCTCCAGGCACTCCTTGTCTTCCGAGGACGAGATTCTGGAAATCGTCGAGGTCGAGGATTTGGAACCTGTCCCCATGCAAGACTCGTGCCTCCAGGTCACGGAAGAGGATATCGCGTTGTGCATGGGAGAGAATCCTTTGCCCGAGAGCGATCAAGAGGAGCATCCTCTAAGAATCCTGAGCCAGGAGAATCTCACCGTCGTCTCGACCTTTACTGGTAAATTAAAAATTCCGTCTAATTATTCCGGACTATTACCGATTGCCCCGGTTGTTCTTTTGAGTCTCGGGACCGTCGTTCGCCGGTAAGACGGGCTCAAGGGACTCGACTTAATCTTAGACTGTTACAAAATACCGCAACTATAGAATATTCAGGATTTTTCTCGACAATATTTCATGACGTTTATAGTACGTCCTATTCCGCGTTACGACCAATCTGTCTCTCCCCTTTTCTCTTCATTGCAAGTGCACTCGAATGGATGTCTTCGAAGATTGTTCCACCGGAGAGTCCGTTCTTAGATCCACCGAGCCCGGTAATAGCGCATTCGATGGAAAACAATCATATCGAAAGAAAGCGAGAGAGGAAGAGAGAGAAAGCCGCGTAGGATTGCAACGGAGCTGGAGAGAGATGAGGAATGGAAGCGGCTCGATATAATTACTCTAAGAGGCAGCTTCTAGTTAAATGCACTCGTTCTTCTCTATTTTCCCCGTCTTATCTGTCTACTTCCTTTGTCCTCGACGTCGAACCATCCGACTGGAGAACCAAAAAAATCTGTCAATTTCCAGACTCGATGTCGGTGATGTCGGACACGGACCGGTACAGACCGCAGTATCCACCACCGGTTGGCGCAGGTGTACTACCGAGGCCGTACTTCGACCACGAGGACTTCCTAGAGCAAGAAACTAGGCACAAGTTCGATCAGTTGGCCCGGCTACACGAGCTATACCAGAGCAAGCTCGCGCTTGCCAATGTTTCCAACTCCGTGACCTATCAGAGGGAGAACTCCTCCAGTGTTAGAGACGCTCCATGTAAGTTTTTCCAGGTTTATTGGAGCAATCTACAATCGGTCGGAACATTAAGACATTAAAAACATTAGCTATGAAATTTTCATCATTCGCTAACTGTACTTCGGATGATCTTGCGAGCTACATTTAAGAACCTCTGATACGACGAATCTGTAATCATTCGAGTAATTAGTTCACAATTATTCTATCGCAATTGAATGAAACGATACTGTCGGTTAACCACCGTTGGTGTACGGCAGGTATAACATTAACACAGGACAAATTCTAGCCGCCCCAGTCTTCCGTCCGCCGTCGCGCTGTCAATCGTTGTCCCTCTCCGACATGATGTTCAACGACAATGCGAGCAATCACGGCAGCATCTACAGCGAGCCCGCGTACATCGCCGGGAAGTCCGATCAGGAGAAGATCTGCGATAACTGTCGTCAGAGCATGTCCAGGCCGGCCACGGCCTCGTATTGGTACCCGAACAGCGTCGCGCACATAGCCAGCCCCAGACGGTACTGCGGCAAGCTGGGCGATTGCAACATCTCTAGTCTGAGGCATCCCGACGGCGCGTCGAATCCTAACCTGAAAGAGGAAGTGGAGAGGCTACCGGGAAACGGAGCCTCGGGTTCCGACCCGGAGGAGGAGTACGTCGAGGCGAAGAAATTGTTCACTGCGGCTGAGAGATCGGAGAGGACTGTCACTGGCAAGTCGGACATCGAGGAGGATCTCAAGATACAAGGTAGAGAGAATGTTCGCTATTAATCCCTCGTGCACTGTTCCATAAATTGTTGCATCGCCATTCCTTCAATTACACTTGGTGTAAGATAACATCGAATTAAGGAGATATACAAGTTTTCCTGACAAGGAATACAATTAAAAATTAAAATCCGAGTCTGAAATTAATCCGAACAGTGCACAAGGATTAAACAGAGGAATTGTCGAGTTTATATTGGAATTGAAATTCTAACGTCGAATGACTTGGCCTACATTGATACATGGAACGACACCACACATGACCGATTCAATCTTCTAAATTAAAAAATGGGAGCATGTAAATAGGCTGTGATAATAAGAAATAATAAGAATACTGTTAAGAAATTCTAACGTTATCCTAAGCTTCGTAAATGTCTTAGGAGTTTTTCATAGGAGATTCTATCTTCTAGTAACAGCGCCACCACAGTTGTCGATTCCATCGCCGGCTCCGTCTTCGGGTCGAATGCAACGGAAGATCACCAGTTTGGGCTCGTCGTTCGGTTTGAACAAGGAGGGCTACGATTCCGGTGCCGATTCCACGCCCCGAGCAGCGAAACTCTCACCGGCGACCCTGTCCAGGCATCGCGCCGAAAGTTCTGGCTACGACAGTATTGTCAGGGACAGCGAGACCAGCAGCATAGCGAGCGATTCCTCGAGGCAGACCAGCGCTCTTCAAGAGCATCAAGGTAGTGAACATTTTCCCGTGGTATCGATACGTTCACCTTGGTTCAATCCGAGAAACACAAATTAAACGGAAGTCTGTCCAACGAAAGTCAAAGTTCGCCCGGAAGCGTTCCAATTAGCGACGGAATAATTAATTAATAATTGAGTGTTCCGCGCTAGTCGATCTGTTGCAGAAATCGTTACGATTACTCCGAGATTATTCTCAATAGGAAATTCTCGCGCGATCTTTTTGCACGTTTTAATCGCATGCTCTTTCAATCTTCTTCCCCCTGAAACTCCTCGCAGTTAACGCGAACGGAATTATTAACGTCACCGCTGATGCATGCCATTGATACAGCTCTACGATTCTTGATACGTTCCGCCAGACACGCTCTAACGAGAAAAAACTTTCCCATTAATACAATAATGTAGATGGTACATTTTAATTAGCGGAGTAACGAGTAAGCTGTAATTAACACGGCGATCCTCGAAAGACAGAGGAACCGAGTAGGACTTCTGGCTAATATATATGCTTCTAATTGTCATTCAGTTTAAACTCTAGATATTTCTCTTACAAATCCACGCATGCCTGATAATTTACAATCCCTAATATAAAATTGGAACATCATCCAAAACGGTTAGTCTCCGATACCGTTGGAATTCGACGAAACTTCCTAGAAGACAAAATGGTTCGAATACAAAATCTCTTTCGATACCGTCATTTTGGATGATGATCCACAGGAATTTTTGATGAAGCGTCAACGACATTGATCTCTCGAGATGTGGATCGTGTCGCTCGCTTCACGCAATCCCGTGAGAACGATGTGCAAAACCCTCTAAAACGGTCCCTCCGTACGGTGGTTTATCCTCAGGTGGCGCGCTGGGGGTTCTAACCTCGACGTTGTGCGGGTGTTTCAGCGGTGGAACAGCGGGCGGCAGAGTGCGGGCTCCGGTCACGGGCCCATTGCCGGGCCCATCTGCCAAGGGGGCCGTCCGCGGTCCCGGGGATACTCGCGTACACAAGCGAGGACGTGGACATCCTGGACAAGCGCGCGCAGTTGCGCTCGGATCCACGTGGCACGATGTCCAGGATACACAACCTGCGACTACGCCAGCGCCTTCTTAGGCTCGAGCTACGTGACGCTAAGAGGCGGCTGATGGTGCCCGACAGCCGTTGGACCTACGATCGTAAGTGTCCTCTTACAATTTATCTCTAAGAGAAACGGTAATTAACACATTCGATTCGGATGGGAACTATAGTTTCCAACATGGACGAACCTTGCAACCGTCTTTGGGGCATTGTGGAGGGGATTCATACGTCTTGTGTAGCCACAAGTGAATTTATCCAGATCAGTGACGTCTAAAGGAACAGTTTGGCACCAGTCGTTCACAGTTTCAGAATTTTAATAGCAAGTATTATTACAATCCCACGGCCGGATGGGAGTTACAGTTCCCATTCAAAGATGCGATGAAAAAGACACTTTCTATTATTAAATTTATAAAAGAAGAAAAATTCTCCGGGTCATGGAGTCAGAAAAACGATTACGGACCGTCCCGAAAGTGTTAAGACTCTATACAACTTCTTTTTAGAGATGATATAATAGAAAAAGGATAGATTTAAAGAACATTTACCAGAGTAGATGTAGATTTTTCGAGGTACATTTCGAAAAATGTAACTGCCAACTGTATTTCGACGTTGCAGTACACGTGGAGAACGGGATGGACTGGCGAGATCCGTCTTTCCTGGAGGCTCTGGAGGCGGAGACCTGTATCCTACAGAAACGGGTCCATGCTTGTAAAAGCCACGTTTTGTTGGTCACCTGCTTCGACTCTTGTCCCCGGCAACAGTGTACGCGGCAAGCGGGCACATCGCCGTCTGGGATACGGATCACCTAACCTAGACTTGGATCAGCGCGAACCACCGCGTGCTGATCGTAACCCGCGAGAGAGGAGGGAACGCCGACACCGATTAGAAAACGAGACGAGCGAGGTCGCTGATCATGAGAGAACGGGATTGAACGATGTCGCTCGACTCCGTCCAATAGTTGTTAAAATGAACATAGTTATATCGTCGTGATCGTCGTCGTACGTCGTCGCTATTGTTACACGTGTAATCGATAATAAGAAAGCTTTCGCCCACTTCCACCTGACACGGTAGGGAACGTCGTTTTGTCGCGCATGCGGCGCCGCGACGAGCTCGAGGTGTGTCCTCACCGTATCCTTGCGCCTTCGAGGACGCGTATTCGGGGAACCGTGTGTGCATGAGGTTGCGAACGTTTAAGAGTAAGGAGAGAAAGAGAGAGAGAGAGATGTTAAAAACGATGTTACGATTGTTGGCGGAATAGCCGTAGTGTACGCGGGTCGACCTTAACCCGGTCGGATAACTTGTTGACTTAAATAATATAGCGTACGAGATGGTGCTGCAATTTTTTTATACCGATCGTCAGAGTCGCAACTTAGGTAAATTTAACCGAGTCACTTACCCCCTAGTCCCGTGTCGGGGGGCCGACGAGCTAGACACGCGACTTCCGATTACAAAGACTGTTTTGTTGTTGATCGAACCTGAT